TCATCCCTGGGGGGGGGGGAATTGTATATTATTCTACTGTTCACGAACTGACAATTCACAATATTGAAATTGTGTAAAGTTCCGTGGCCTCGATATCCGTGCGTGGGTTCGAATCTCACCTAGGCTAATGAACTTTCAACATATTTCAACATAAGATTTCAATCTCCCGAACAGTGATTTGAACAATTCATTTTATTGTTCTAATGTGCATAGATATTGAACAGTGTCTGTCTGTCTGTCTGTCTGTCTGTCTGTCTGTCTGTCTGTCTGTCTGTCTGTCTGTCTGTCTATTTGTTTGTTTGTCTGTTCTGGTATCGTTTTCTCAACCTCAAATCCATATTACCGGTTCACATTTAAAATGAGGCGAGTGGTTTCGTATTTTCCCTGATTCACTTCACTTCACTTCTTTTTCTCCTCCGAATTCCCGTATTCGTACTGTTCTTGTTAGACTAAACTTGTGAGGAATTGTAGCGGCCGTATCCAATAGAAATTCAGATGTGAATGAGCCTCAGAAGATATTGCGTAGTCGACTGATTGCATACATCACTGTGTCTTTGAATTATGTGGTCTTTTGGTAGGGCTGAATTCGCAAACGTCATTTAACAGGAAAACTTGTCCTAATTAAATAAGTGAACCTTACAAATTGTTAGTCTGACAATATCAGTTGCTAATGTCATACTATATAGCCCAGAACTGAAGAATTTCCAAATCGTATGTTAACGAGACGCACTGAGGGTTTGAAAGGGAGACCGATTGAATGTATTCATTCTGACAGCCCCCGGAATTTTTTAGCAATCAAAAAATCAGAAATTCAGTAAGGACTGTGTCAAAAAACGATGTCCAGTTGGCAATTCAAGGGTAATTTGTTGATCACTAAGGCTCGAATCGGTGCAACTGCATCAAAGAAACAAAATCTACGATAGAATTTGCTGTTATACAAAGACCAAAATGGAGCACTGGACAGCTATTTCGTCCTTATTGGCACTGGTCAGGCCAGGCCAGGTCAGGTCAGGTCAGGTCACAGGATTTGTGGATCTAGCCAATTTGAGTCCAGTTTCTTTGCACTGTGAGCCCCAGGTGTCTCACTGTGCTGCCACAGGTCGGTTCAGGTTCGATTTGTACAAGGCGAAATGTGGCCAGCAGTTCCCAGGTGGGGACCAAGCTTAAACCGCGTTTATTCGACTCTGGCAAAGGAGTCAAAATCTTCAACCCTCAGTCTCATGATGAATGACCAACAAATCTAGGAAATTCTATTGCGACCGAAATATTTGTGATGGCAGACAACTCGTCACAACTGAGCAGACTTTGTTTCCCTGTCAGAACTCGAACCACAAACACTCGGGTTGTGACTTCAAACCGCTACTCCTGAGCTACGTGATCAACGGTCATCACCTTGTGCGAATGACTCAATCAAATTTTAGAGCATGAAGCTTGGATTGTTCAAAGGCACCAAGCAATCTTGATGATCTTGGGTGTACGTTTCACTCCATCCAGAGAACCTGGTGCCTCTGAACAACCGACTAAGCTAATCCACACTTGATGCTCTAGACGTTTAGGAAATGGCTGTATGACTTTAGAATATTGTTGTGCTCGGTTGACCTATTCAATTTTACAATCAGTAATCATTTTATCGTATCTGATTTTCAACGTTTCGAATGTGTTGGTCGGCATTCGCACTGAACCGGTTGTCGTGTAACGAGAGTGAATTGTTTGCAATCAAGGTGTCGCATACAGGAGCATGCTTTACATCTAAAAATGTGAGATTAACTCTCTTTCTCTTAAGCACATGGAAGGAGAGGGGAAGAGGTGAATAATCTCGCAGAACAGGAAAGAATTTATTTAAAAAGCCAAGAAATCAGCTTTTTCCCCCGTCACGAAAGAAAAGTTCATTCAGAAAACCCTTTTCAATTCAGACGAAAATTTCACTGTTTTTTTTTCGTATTTCACATCTCACATATGTCTTGCATCAAGGATCGTAACGGTGCATCGGAAACCATAAATTGCTTGAGTCCGTGATGAGTATTTGCGATACTTGACAATTCTCGCGGTCAGTGTTATCGGCATTGCTCAATCTCCCTATTCAGCCGCACTTTCACCTGGACCTGTCAGACAGATCTAAATTCGATACACATTTGTTTAGCCTGGTTGTTTCTTCAGGAATTAGCTTCCGTGATGGATTTAGAACCATAGAAGCGGGACTAATTGCCCGAATGGGTTATTTCTGTCCAAAGAAACTCACTTCCTTATTTGGTGGGAACACATCAGTCACCACTGTACTGCCTTGAACGCTCCACAGTGCAACTGTTTCCATCTTGATTGGGAATCATCAGCAGTGCACACTCAAGAACAGCAACTTCGGTTGGCAATCCGATTTGGTGTATGATTATCAATCACCGGTGATGAGGATTGCTAGTTGGAACAGCGTTAGTGTTCGAATCCCATCACCACCGACCGACATTTACGTGTCGTAATCTCATCAGCTGTGTAAATGCATGCAGATCACGTTTGTTTCAAATAGTGACAGGTTTGGGAACAGGCGAACATACACGGGTGGGAGAAATCAAACAACACGAAGGCCAAAGGTCACTAATTCGACGCGGATTGGGGGGGGGGCATAGGGACAGNGGGGGGGGGGGCAGGGGGACGGGGGGGGGGGGGTCGCGTAATCACTGCAGGTTGGGGAGGGTAGCGCGAGGCTGGCCACGAATTCGTTCTGTGTACACAAATCGGGCTTGTAAAGTCAACCAGTAGCTGCCTCAGTGAACCGTAACAGACGGCTACCCCTCCGGTGGATCAAGACACAAAAGGCGTTCCTAGGTTTGTCCCATTCTTTGCAATCCAGTATGTATTGAGCGATGCAACTGGACTGAAGCTGGGACCCGTAAGGTACCATATTATTCAATGAATACTTTACTCTCCTAGTAGACGATTGCCTCTCAGTTATTCTGTCGAACTTGCAACCCCAAGTACATTGAAATAGGTAAATACATAAAAGTCAGATTTGTCTAGATTGGATT